ATTTGCTCTGCATTGTGAATAGAAGGTTGATTTGTAAATACATCTAAATAATATTTCATTAGCTAGTTTTTCATAGCGCATGATTCGATATTTTGAACTCGTAAATTTGTTGTTCTTTCTTGAAGCATTCTTCATAAACAACTGTTACATATCGGCCTCGAAATTTAAAAATATACCTTGCGCTACATGGATGATTTCAAAGTTTTTGTTTGTACTTTCAATAATCCTTGAGTGCTCTTGGAGCAAATACTTATAAGGCTTTATTTTTTGCACTTCTATGGCTCTAATGCTCCTTTCGCACAGAAGGAAGCCATGTCCGGGCTCGGGGTACCTGTGCTGTATTGGACTGATAGTACTGTGCTAAAACCAGTCAAGTCCAGGACTGCGCTGTCTGACAGTTGCATCGACTTAAGGTCGATCATCCCTTTTTTTCAACTGTGCGATTGGGGCAGCATTAATACATATTGTATAATTATGGTTTGTGTGTAAAAATGACTGATTTGTGACAATCTCTTGTTTTTTTGTCAAAATATCAGCCTTTTTTTGGTCAATATTTCTGCCGCGATAGCTTCAGAACAAATAGGAGCACAGACATGAGATTTCGTGATTGCATTACAAACGGATAAAGGAAGGTCGCATATGGTTCATTTGATAGATTACGTTTTTTTATTTCGCAAAAATATTTTTTTCTTATCGGAGAAAAACAATTTTTCAGATACTGTTCATACTGGACATAGAGAAGTTTTAGAACAAGCCACAACAAAAAAATAAGCTTTCTACTTCAAACGGTCTCAGAGTAGTCGAGGAAGGATTGGTATTAATCGTAACAAAACCACGCCTCCCGCTGACCACGCCTTCAGCGAGTGATAGGTGGCTAGATATAAGACAGGTGCCTTGCTTGGCATGCTAATTATTCACCGTGTTGCCACCCGTTCGATGTATTCCTCGAGAGCCAAAGTATTCTATCTGTGATTATTGTTTTGTTATAAGTTTGTTGTTGCTCTGTTTTGTGATTAAGATGCCTAAGGCCCGTCCTCCCACTATAAAAAAGACGTCACATGTCAGGTCGAAAGAATGCTCTAAAAACAAGGTAAGTATTGCTTTACTATACAGAAACACGTATGTTAACATAGGTATTTGTTCTGCTTAAAGGCAATGAAAAATTCATAAAAGAAAACACTGACAAGCCAGGTGTCATGTATTGACTACCTCATTTCCAGAAGCTTGTAGTTTTACATCACGCATCAACTACCGAACGTCAATTTCACTTTATCCACCTCCCTAGGTACCCTAAGATGCCTGGAGGTAGGTCGGATAGCCGTAGGTTAGCCGATCGTTGCCGACGCCAGAGGGGGTCTCGTTAGGTGTATGTGTCTATATTCAGCTCATAATCCTGTAATTAAATTCCCCGGATACGTATAAGGAATTTAATTAATCGAAGTAGTCTAACTACCATGGTGACTCGGAATAAGACGGAAAACGAATCGGAAGACTACCTTCCAAAATACACGTGGGGGCAAGGTTACTACACAGGGTGTTCCTTAATGATATGCGAATATTGAAGTGTGTGAGTCTACATGCAAATTAATGTTAGTTTGCTTCATAAACCATGGTCTAAAAATGTTTCCTTACAAAAGTCGGGGAGTTGAAGTTTTAGGACAAAATGGAATTAGAGTAAAGCGGGGGGAAATATGGCAACATAAATTTGAAACGCTCACATTCTGGCCTCCATCGGACCTAGTCGCAATAAGATTATTGAACCTTAGAGCTTACACATGCAGGTTTGCGGTGTGAAAACTCTCGTTGCCCTATTCCCATCGACAAAATACTATAATCAAAAATGTCCAATGACTCACTATTGCCATATTACCCGCACCTGGGTAATATGGCATCTAGCTCTGGGTAATAAGGCAACATGTTTTCGTAACGTAAAAATTAGGGAATTCAACTTTTTATAGAAAATGCTGATAATTGCAAAAATACACTTTTATTTCCAATGAAAACACTCAAAAAGTAAAAAACAATACAGATAATCCTAATAATGTAACTGTTAATATACTTAGGTATACTGGTAAATATCCTTTAATGTGATTTTGTCTTGGTAGCTATTTCGGATAACGGCGTACACTCTTCGCAAAATCTGTCAGATTGCGCACATATTTCATGGACCCATTTCAAACATGTTACGCATTGGAGCCAGTCGCATTTGGGATCTTTTTTATCGTAAAAATACCCATGACATGCTGCACAAAATTCTGACTCATCAGTATCGATTTCTGAATCGTTGCTTTCTTGGGTTACTACCTCGGTTTCGGTGTCTGACGAATTCGGACTTGGTGATTTTTTAGTTTCCTTTTTGTAACTACCATTTTCTTCCTAAGATCAACAATACTTTGCGTTTTTTTCCGTTCTTCTTTTTGTTTTAATTTTGTTCTTTTTACTTCTTCCATTGCTGGTTTTGCGCAAATTGTTTCTGGCGAAGTTAGTATTTCGGCATGTTGTTTTCGTCTATAGCCACTTGGTCCTGGTTCCACGCATGGAACCGGTGAAATTGCTTCAAAGGGTTTCTATTTTCGGGGTTGTTGACTGCAATGACACTACCTGGTCTGTGGTCGTTTTGCTCCTCACTGAGGAATGTCTTGTGGGTTGTGTTCGTCTTCAGCTGATGGTTCGTCGTTAATGGTAAAAGCATAATCGGGAATTTTTTCGGGATTAAAAGGGTAAATCCCACAGGTTCTGAAATCGGAAGTCCCTTTTTGAAAAGATGGGCGAACTGCAATCGGTTCAGTTTTCGACCAGGATTGTTATGAACCCAGTTTTGATAAGTATGAGCCCAATAAGATTTTAAGGGTTTGAAGAATGAGCGATCAAGCTGTTGAAGCCAATGTGTGGTGTGGCTGGGCAACAAAACAGGATGACGTTATTCGCTACAGCAAAATCCAACAGTTCGACATTAGAACAGTGCGAAGAATGTCCATCCATAATTAATAGAACCCTACAGGCACCTTTCCGCGGAACAAAAAATTCACGAAACCATTGGAAAAAAATTTCAGATTTGAGATAAGCTGACTTCTCGCCCATAACAACCTTTCCTCCAGGTGGTAGACCATCTTCAAATTCCTTTTTTTTTATTTTTCCCTTTGAATACACAGCAGGGTGGGAAAAAACTGCCTTCTGCGTTTACACGCGTTATAACGGAAATAGTTTCTCCCTTTTCAGCACTCGTGATACAGTTTACCATTTTAGTGCCTTTAGTTACTACAACTTTGCCTGGATTATTATTTAACTGCAATCCAGTTTCATTGAGATTAAACATGTTTTGAGGCTTATTTAATAAATTATTTTCTGTCAAAACGTTTCCTAGTAGTTCGAAATATTGGGTACATTCTTGTCTCGTCATGCCTTTGGCTCTGGCAGTAGACATTCCTTGAGCCTTACGAACTGCCAGTTCAGGATGTCGTCTCATGAAGGTGAGAAACCAATCTTGACCTGCCCTTTTTCGTTCGGTATTAAAATTATGTGGAATATTTTGTTGGATCGCAAAAGAATATGCAAGCTTTTTTATATCATGAGCAGATAAAGCAAAGCCGTGCGATGCCATATTTTGTATATATTCGACTAAACTTGTTTCTTGTACCATACTGAGTAAGCTTTTGCGACCTAATGCCACTTTATTTAAGTTTTCCGACCGCATTCTTCTCATTAAGGTTCTAACTGGAACATTATAAGTACGACTTATTTCTCGAACCGATCCTTTACCTCCATGAATATCAGATACTGCATTCCGAAGGTCTTCTTCTGACCATTGAACTCTTATATTTCTTCGAATATAAGAACGTGGCATTGTGTTAATCTGAAATAAGCAGAAAAACGCACCACATTAGGATCCGTCACATGAAAAAAATAAATGGGGTAATATGCCGCACCGTCACTTTTATGCGGCTTATTGCCCCTCTGCGCAACAGTAACATTTCAACTAAAACGCACAAACCCCGTGTAAATCCAGGACGCAGTACATGTGTTAAATGTTAGGTCATGGATCTTACTTTGCCTAGCAATAAGGATTATTTAAATCGGACCACGAAAACTTGAAAAAATTCTTATCATATCTCATATAAAATAATTTTGGTTTGTACTTACCGGTTTTTTGGGTCTATCTTACACTAAATCAAGTAATTAAACACACATTCAAAGGTAACGGGCTTGCTTGCATTTATGGCGACAGATTAATGTGGTAGGTGCCCTCTGTAACCGTCGGAGTGCACTATGAGCGAAGTGAGGCGTATTACCCGTTGCGGCATATTTCCCCGTTTTATTCTAATTAATATTTTCAGAACCGCTTCAGATATCTTACTGATATTTGGTACGTAGTGAAAGTTAATAAGATTGCATATATTTCAATGCAAAAATAATTTTAGCTTTCACAGTGGCGTGCGTACAAGTATTGACTTCGATATCTTTTAAGAAAAAATTATAAGACAACGGTTTTTTGCCAAATCAAAATTATTTTTGAATTTCCCGTTCAATTTAAAACTAATGATCTCTCCTGAATTTTTTCCTTTGCAGCGTTATTTTTGAATTCTATTGTTCGAGAAAATTAATGTAATAATTAAAAAATGCAATTTAGCAATAAATATCTAGTTGCTCTGGAATATCACTGGCTTTTGACATCAGAAAAGTCTCTGTTATTCAAATCTGTTCGCTGTAAAATCTTTTTCATTATTTAGTTTTTACAATCTTGTTAATAATGGTGAATTATTCAAACGCAGAAATGGCGGAAATGCATTACGTATATGGCCTTGCCGACGGTAATGGTGAGCACGCCAGACGAATTTATCACCAGAGATATCCCGATCGTGCTTTTCCAGATAGTCGAACCTTTCTAATATTCATCGTTGTCTTGTTGAAACTGGTTCTGTCCGACAAGAAACATCTGAAGGTAGACATCTAAGTGTGAGAACACCTGAAATAGAGGAAGCAGTGCTGCACGAAGTCGAAGAACATCCTGAAACGAGTACATGGAAGATCGCTAGACACTTAAATATTTGCAATCAAACTGTTTGGAGAATTTTAGTGAATTTTTTGTTATATCGTTAGCACGTTTAAAGAGTACAGGCATTACTTCCCATTGATTTCCCAAGGCGCGTGACCTTTTGTTAGTGGTATCTTTAAAAAATACACAAAATCCGCAATTTGAATCAATGATTCTGTTGACGGACGAAGCTACTTTTTCCCGAAATGCAATTCAGAATTTCCACAATAATCATTTGTGGGCAGAAGAAAATTCTTATGCCGTAACCGAAAGCCATTTCCAACACCAATTTGCGGTTAACGTATGGGCAGGAGTTATTGGCAACCACCTTATTGGCCCATTCTTCCTGCCGGGACGACTGGACGGACAGATTTACCTCAATTTTCTTCAACAACAGTTGCCTTTGCTGCTAGTAATAAAAAACATTATGTGGTACATGCATGATGGCTCACCAGCGCATTTCAGTGTAGCGGTTCGTAATTATTTACAAACTGTTTATCCAAATCATTGGATTGACCGCGGTGGGCCCCAGGAATGGCCACCAAAGTTCCCAGACCTGGACAGCTCAGATTCTTTTTGTGGGGCTATCTTAAGACACTAGTGTACACAAGTCCATTAACACTGTAGAGGAATTAAGAGCAAGAATAGTTGCAGCGTGTGAAAGAATAAAAAACACTCCAGGGATATTTCAACGAGCGCGCAATTCCATGAGAAGGAGGGCGGAGACATGCATACTAAGTGGGGCCATTTTCAACAATTTTTGTAATCATTTCGTTGGTTTTAATGTCATGCTTATGTTATCAGTTGTTGTTGTTCATTACCCCTAATGTGTTTAATTTTCCTTATTAAATTAATAATAATTTTGCAAGTTAGACAATAGAACGGATTTTATTTTTTTACTCAAACATGGCGCATCGGAGGAAAACAATTCACGAGAGATCAATTTGTTTTAAATTGGAAGGGGAATTCAAAAATAATTTTTATTTGGCAAAAAAACTATTGGCGTACACCAGACATTTATAGAAAACCTGTGTTGAAACGAGTGGATTCCTATAGAACGGGGATTTTGTAATGACAATATATGTTTATTATGCGGTCCTATGTATGATGTTCCATTTTTGGTAACGAGTTGTGAATCTCCCTGTACATATGCTGAGCTTACAGGTTAGATAGTGTATAATATGCTACGTCTATGTTGTCAAAAATTGTTGAACATATGATACAGTGGTTTTTACAGTTTTGCAAAATTCTCATTGCCTAACCGAAAATTCAAAATAAACTTCAAACATATTTTTCCCGAATCTATACCACTAATCTACAAAAATACGGCTATGTAGGACACAGCATAAAACACGTTTATGAGTTTAGGGGTCCCTGGGAGCGGCCCATGGATCTGAAAATTCGGCTAGTGTTATTTGACCCAATACAGCAGACGCTCGATAATGTAAACTAATTTAATCCAAGTGTGGTTCACATTATCGAAATGTTTACATTAGCGAACGTGATTTATGTAATAATTGATTTATTAAAAAAAACGTTTAATACATACAATTTATAACAAAATAAACAAATATTCTAACAGCAATTAGTATTTTTTTAATTAGAAGAAAAATAATTAACAATCTTTGTCTGCGTAAATTTGCGCTTAGCATTGTCTTCCAATGCCTGCGCCCGTAATTTACGAAGAACTAAAATATCCGTGTATGAAACTTCTTTTCTTTCAGCCCAATCTAAAGCTTGGTTAAAAACTTGTATAGCTTGCGCGTCGGTAACTACACTTCTGACTTCAATGGGATCGTTCTCATCATGCTCACTGTCCATATCCTCCTCCTTATCAGCATCATTCTTCTGCTTATATTCGTTCCATAAATTAATATCAGCAGGAGTACAAACAATGTAGGGATTCACTGTTTTCAATAAATCAACAACATCCAATGACACACTAATGACATTATCATTATTGGATCGCAAACGTTCTCTAATTACGCTTAAGGGGACATCGTCTTCTTCATCATCTTCACTATTGGTACAAAAGAGCTCGGTAATTGTTTTCATCAATTTTTCTTTGAATGGTTGCACTAATTGTGATTGTGCTGATAATTTTTCACCAGATATAGACAGCAGTCGAATTCCATATCTTGTTTTGAATCGTTGTAGCCAGCCATCACTAGCTACGAAATTTTCAGTTTTGCATTTAACAGTCTCGCTCTCTGTTTAAGTACTTCGCCACTAACTGGGACATGATTTTCCTGTTGTTATAAAAACCACTTATACAGAGAATTTTCCATTTTAGGTGCCTCCGCATTTTTTAAAGTGTTTCTTTTTCCCGGACCTCCAAATGTATTGCACGTTCTTTGTAAAATTTGAGTTTTCATACGCTTAATTTTACAGATTGTTGCTTTCGATACTCCATATTTTTCGGCTAACTGGGTCACTCCCGCACCTAGTGCAACTTCGTCTATGATTTTCACTTTCTCACTCAACTTTAAACACTTTCTTTTATAGGATGTGGATGCCATAGTCGTAAAATATATTAACGCGTGCAATGTATTCACTTGAGATCAAAAATGAAATACATACGTACGTATAAACGTATCCTAAACGATCATACTACTGACCGAGTTTGTCGTATTTTATCGCAGAGGTGAATCCCCTACACTCTACATCATAAATCGGGGACTCCCCGACGCCCGACATAAATCATCGAGGCTTCAGCATTTTACCGTCGCGCTGTTTCCGTGCGCCGAGAGTTGTTTACGTTATCGAGCGTACACATTGTTTACGTTATCGCGCGTTCCGTTTGATCATATAGAACGAAGTTTGTGTTTACATTAGCGCAAGTTTTCATTATCCCGTGTTTACGTTATCGAGCGTCTGCTGTATATCCTAATTTAGAATAATCTAGATTTGGATGCCTTCGGGGGCAATTTTCATACGTAGTATAACAAGAATGAATATTACTGTTGGCGCCATCTATTGCGAGACTCTACTACTTGCCAGATCTTCATAGCTGACATCTGTTTTTACGTATATCACGACCGCACATGCCGCTTGGCCACATCTATTGAGGGCCGTACCAGTGACTCGCCCTCTAGATCGACGCGAGTGACCTCAAAGACTCTGGAATGCGGCTATGTGGCTCACCGGAATCTACTTAACCCAAAGATGCGGACTGTACACCTCGACGGCCGGGAGAGGCAAGCAGAGTAGAGTAGAGTAGAGCAGAGTGGAGTCAAGTTCAGTCAATAGCCCGTATTTATAAAAATGAAGCATTTACTTTGAAGTAAAGGTACAAGCAAAAGGTAGAAGTAAAAGATTTTGCTCTAACTCGTATTCATAATCTCTACCTCTTCATTGCAAGCAAATGCTTCGGGAAAATAAAGTAAAAGGTACGGAGATTAGCGATTTCGACAAGATATGACTTGCAGCGTGCAATCAACGCGTATGTGGTCTGTAACGGATGG